TTTGTAAATAGATGATAAAGACTGGAAATAACTTTTCCTATTGTGAAATACTGGGATTTCACCTTTGATATGGCTTCAGTCTGAGGGAGGTTTCTTTGGGGGAGCATATTCGTATGGGGTTGAGGAGTAGGCTGGGTGCTGAGTGCAAAGGGGTTTCTCTGTACAGGAGCTCCAATAGATCTAATCTGTATGTAGAAAGGTCTTTCCCTCTGCAAATAGCCTTGTCTCGATTAATAGCACAAGTCGTCCTAAAGAAATGCTGCCACCTACTGAATAAACTGCCAACATCATTCTGCCTCAGTTTGATTTACTGGAGGAAAGTTGCAACATACAGACCCAGACCAAACACTATAAAAAGTCAAGGTTAGTATGCTCCTTGTGGCATCCTAGGCACCTCTTCATTTGCGCTCCCCCAAGTTTTGCTGTAGCTTGGTCCACTCTATATCATTTTCTAGTTTCCACACACACACCAGAGCCTAATAACCACGAGGACCTGAAAGCTTAGAATCAGCAAAACAGATTTGTCACCTATAAGGTCAGGAACTGATGTGATATCCAGCAGGTGGATGCTGGTGTCTCCCATCAGAGGTGATGGATGCCTCAATGAAGTCCTGAATGGATGAACCCTCTGTACCATACATATATGTGATTTCATGTTTCTATAATAAATTATTATTATTATTTCTACCCCACCCATCTGGATGGGTTTCTCCAGCCACTCTGGGCTGCTCCCAACAGAATATTAAAAACATGACAAAACATCAAACATTAAAAACTTCCCTAAACAGATGTCTTCTAAAAGTCAAGTAGTTGTTTATTTCCTTGACATCTGATGGGAGGGCCTTCCACAGGGTGGGCACCACTACCAAGAAGGCCCTCTGCCTGGTTCTAGCCTTTCCAACAAACTACACACCGTGTCCCCCACCAGAGGTAATACCCCTCTCCTAACACTCCATAAGCCCTCCACCTAGACCATCTAGGAAAAGGAAAACCCTGGTCCTAAACCTCTGCTGCCTTGCAGGATATCTTTGGAAGAAGAAAAGGCTAAGGAGTAAACCATACACAAATCCAGAGTGGGGTCCCTAAGACTGTTGGATGGCAACTTAAATGAGGCAACTCTGGCAACTCCTGCAGCTAAGCTGGCACCAAATGTATTGCTCTGTTTTCCTTTGGACCACATCAGCGAGGCCAAGAGGGGTGGT